CTACTATGTGTGTGTGAAGATAAAAGGCTTAATGTGATCGCGCTAGAATGAAAACGGGTAAAATTTAGCAAAAAGAATTAGGTTGAGCTATAATGGCATGACTGGAATTGGTCTGCACAATGGGGGATGTTTAGTGTTATTACCGCATCTTTTGTGTTATGTCGAGCTTACGTTTCCGCAAAACATTGGCAGCCTCTTATGATTCGAATTGCATCATGAAAATTGCATTTAACTTGTGCCTTATTAGTTTTTATACTGGCTTTATTGCTTGAGGACAAAAAAAGGTTCAAGCTTAGGGGAGTTTGATAACACGAAAAGATATAACATTTTCCGCCTGATTTACATAAATTATATTTCTGATTCTTCGATTATTATGTCACATTTTATCTATTTTTGTAGTATTTGAATCATATTTTAGGTACTTAGCTTTTGCAAGGCATAAATGAGAAAAGGAAGAAAAAGAATGGAAAAATGAAGAAGAAATGGCTATTAAATAACAAAAAGCAGCATTCTGTAAACAGAAGCGTGTCGCCCACCACAAAGGTGTTACGACCGGGCCCAGCTTAGTTTTTGTGCCCCTCGGCACGTCTAATGTTACGTCCGGGACATATATGAATTATCTGCCCCACGTTACAATACGCACCATGCTCGCCATGATCCATCACAGTTACGAACCTTTCACCACTGAAGCACATTAAATGCACGTTCACCTGGATTTTCTCCACGCTTCATGAACAAGAATTATGGGACGTTTCCTATTTTCTCTCACCATTTGGAATGCATATATATGGAAGCAGTTACCAAAGATGACTCTCTCTCTCTCTCTCTCTCTCTCTCTTTCTCTCTCGCACCTTGAACAATCGTTACACAGTATTATTACTTTCAATTTCACTTTCTCTGTTGAGCATTATTTTATTTGTATTATGTTTTGATATTTTCCAATTTAGATTTCCAGCATTAATTTTCCACTTTTCGTAGTATTCCATAAGCAATAAAAAACCCACCATCAAAGCAGTATTTTTCCACATCAGAGAAATACTACAACACTAGTTTATTTCCAGACGTCAGAATTTGCTTAGGATTACTTTAATTTAGTTCGAGTTATTTTTACTACAAGTCAATCCTGTCGACTTGTAGAGGACACACATTGTTTGGAATTAATCGATTTGTTATTCACTTTCAGGTTCTTATTTTAATAAGCATAATTTATTTATTTCCTACCATGCATGCGTTGTTGAATTTACGTTTAACTTTTATGTTGTTCTGCAATAATATTATGTCTGACTAGATTCCCTGATACCGGTATGTAAAACTTAACCGAAATGATTCAATAATTATTTTTCATTATTAATTTTTACAAAAACGCTTTTGTGGTTTTAATTTCCAATTGGATATTTAATTGTTTTTGTACGGAAGTAAGAGACAGTCTAAGGTTAAAATCAACAGAACGAAAGTTTGAGGTTTTAACCAGATATTGGTTATTAAAACATTAATTTTAAAAACAGCGGAAGCGCTTTAAAGTTAATTGGACCTTATTTGTTTTCAAAAAATACTTTTGAGTTTTAAATGAAACAGAGGAAGCACTCATTTCGAGCTTAATTGATATGATCTGATTCAATAGAATGGAAGTTTGAGACGAGGGTTTTTAAACGAATAGTTTCACCGAAACCGTGTTTTAATATTAAAAAAAATGCCAATGACTTAGTGAATCCCTTAAGTTGACAAAATACATACCGGTGTCCCGTTATTAATTATTAAATTTTAGTTAATTCCCGATCAAACCCAAACACCCAAATTTATAATTAGTCTTAACTTTACATAGTAACCCTTAGATAACAGTAGTTTTGACCATTAGTCCTTGTGAGTTCGATATCTTTTAAAACTACGCGATAGACTGTGCACTTGCAGTCACTACACCCGATAGACCTATAAAGTCGCGATCAAGTCGCGAGTCTTATCTTCTCTTATTTTGTCCCTGCCCTAACGGGGAGCCATAATATTCATGCTTTGGGATTCCGGTGCTCTCCTAAATCCTCGAGTCCCGGGCGTTGTTGGCCGCATATTTCTCCTTGTAGGTGATGTAGGAATGATCCACATAGAGGATATCCTCCCAGGACGCGATAGTCTCGATGCTGATTGCTTTTTTGAAATCGTTGCTCGAGCGCAGATCTTTCTCGAGCAGGTACCTCTTCATGCGGTCAACCGTGGGAACTTGGATGGCCTTGCAATTGAACCATTCAATATATGCTCGAAGGGGCTCGTCATTACCTTGGATGATGGCCTTGAGGGACACCTCAATTTTGGGGTGCATCGAGAGGCCGTGAAGTTCCTACTAAATTTGGTTTTCCAAGACTTTCGAGGAAGTGATGGACTATGAGGCGAGGCTTTTGTACCATGCCATGACACTTTTTCTCAGAGTTGTAGGGAATAACCTGCACTCGATGGCTCCCTGATATTGTGGTAGTTAAGCATTGCTTCGAAGCCCTCGATGTGATCGTCGAGGTCTTCAACGCCATCATAAGTGGCCAAGGGTTGTGTCTTTTCCATCCCAGTGGGAATTGGGGTCTCCATGATTGCTCAGGATAGTGGACCGCGTGGGTCGCCTTTGTCGTTTCGGTATGGGGAGCGCGACGGGGAAGAGTCAAATCAGGGGCCTCTATAGCACGACCGACTCTTCTGCTTCTCTGGACACCCGTCAGCTTTGTTCCTCCTGAGGCCAGGGGATCGTCGTTCTTTGCACGGTGGAGTGCGCTTCCGCTTCTTGGTGGCCACAAGCTACTGCATCTCCAGTTGAGGGTGACGTCTAGTTGGTCGCGGAGTGGGGCTCCGAGACTTATTCCTTAGGTGTCTCCGCGAGGGAGAACGGGAACGAACATCTCATCATCATGGGGACGAGGTGAGATATTCATGTCTTCGACGTCTTCTCGAGGGGGGAGTGTGACTGGTGGGTCTTCTCCAACATTCTGATCTGTTTGCTCTGATGGAAGATCAAGTAGTTGGTCTGGCTGATCGTTATGAACAAGGCCACCGTGGTGGGATCAACATTGGCGAGCATAGGGATTTCTTGGTACATTGCAGGCTCCTCGAACTGTCGGTGAAGGTTGTCGAGAGGATGTGAATGGGTAGAGGAAGAGGTTGTCATTCTGTCACTGAGGTTATGTTGTTCGTGAGTGAAAACCTCGTTGTTATTGTTGTTGAGGTTGCCAACATCGACGAAGTGGACAGTCTCGTCGACATTGTTGTTGTTGTGGCTGTCCATGAGGATCAATATGTATTGATAAGTTTGCTTTAGTCTTTAGGTTTGGAAAAGACAGGGAAACTTAGATTTCCACAAACGTCGCCATTAATCTTACCAGGATCATAAGGATCTTCGTAGCCTACAACACTTGGGCTTCTGCTGTGATGAAGGAGAAGTGATGGGGGGGGGGGGGGGGGTACCTGCAAGACACTCCGATGACAAAGTAAGGTCCAGAGCGAAATGGCAAGAATGAAAGAGTGAATAGAATAGTGTATCTGACCCTCTAGTGAAATATGATATTTATAGCCCCCAGCGCTGGGCCAAGGTCCCCATTTTGACCGGATGCCCGGGCCCAAAATGGAGATTTCCATGATCTTAGGTGGGTATAGAAGACAAGTTTATGATCTCTATCCTGGTTTAACTGCCCCGTGATTTTCGGAGGGTGAGAACCCGTTCTTTTCAAGAGCAGGATGACTCTGTAATATTAAGAAGAACGTTGGTCATGTATTCTTGGCGGGCACGTGAGAGAGATATCCTCGACGGGCATGTGGAGAAGGAGGTCCTCGATGGGCACATATAAGAGACATTCACGACAGGCACATGTTGAGGAGGAGATCCATGGCGGACAAGCGTAAGAGACGTTCACGATGTGCACGTGTTAAGGAAGAGTCCTCGACGAGCACGTGTGAGAAATATTCCCCAACAGTCAGAGCAATGTAGGCCACAATAGTGAACCTTCTATGTAACAGAGTTGGGTTGAGTCTTGCCCGACGACAAATCAAATACATGCCCAATCAAAAACAATGATATTGAATTTTTATATATTGATAATAGATAGATATTATATTTTTAAGTCCATTACCTTTGCCGTTGGGTCACTTTAGTTGCTTGACAACATAATAAACCATTGGATCACTTTGCGCTTGTTTGTCTCAAAATTGTGGAATGAAGACTCTAAAAAGACCATTATTAAATGTTGTTTAAAAAAAATTAAAACTGAATTATGAATATTTAGAGAAATTCAACCTATTTAATCTTGATAAAATGATTAGTTTAAAGAAGATATATTGACAATATAAATTTTTTTTACACTATCATTTAATAAATATATTATTTTACTATGTCATATAGATTTTTTAAAATTATAGTTTGATTTATCGTAATTTATGATTATGATTATGATTGATTGAGTGTATAAATACATTACCATTTTTTTCTAAAATAATACTATCCATCAAAAACATTTGATGACAATAAATAGGATATATAATAACATGTTAATAACTAAATGTAGATTTTTTTTAGAAATAAATTGTGTATTGTTTTAATTAAAAATTAAAAAATAATTTTTATATTGTCTTTTTTAATGCAAATTTTTTATTTTTAAATTTCAATCCTGTGTCCTTACCCTATAATAATATGGTTTGTTTTGCTGTTAAAAAAAAAAGAGTATTAATAACATATGAGAAAAAAAATATTATACACCGACAGTTTAAAATATTTTTACATTTTTAATCAATCAAAGTGTGTATTTAATCAAGTCACATTTTTACTTTTAAAATATTGATAATTTTATTGTGTAATGGTGTAAAGTGCACTACTTTTTACCTCATAATATATTTATAAAATTTGTAATAAGAAAAGAGAATATATATAAAATCAAACAACTACTGCGATTTGTGCAGCTCTGATTGTCCCTCCCCGAGTGGAGAGGATTTAGGGTTTTTGAAATCCAATTCCATCGTTCGATTAATCGTCACCAATGGCGAATCGTACGGATCCAGCAGCGAAGAGCATAAGAGGGACGAATCCCCAAAACCTAGTGGAGAAGATTCTCCGTTCAAAGATCTACCAGAACACCTATTGGAAGGAACAATGTTTCGGTTTAACGGCGGAGACCTTAGTCGACAAGGCCATGGAGCTCGACCACCTCGGCGGCACCTACGGTGGCAACCGTAAACCCACTCCCTTCATGTGCCTCGTCATGAAAATGCTCCAGATTCAGCCCGAGAAAGAAATCGTCATCGAGTTCATCAAAAACGATGATTACAAGTATTCACTTTAACCCTAAACCCTAGGCTAATTATCTATACATTGATTTATTCGATTTGGATTATACTTTTATTGAGTAACCTAATTTGTTAATGTTTCATTTTCAAAATGAAATGCAGGTATGTGAGGATACTTGGTGCGTTCTATTTGCGTCTTACGGGATCTGATACTGATGTCTATCATTACCTGGAACCATTGTATAATGATTATAGAAAACTGAGGCGAAAATTAGCTGATGGACGTACGTTCTTGAATGTTATTGTGACCTATAAATTATGGTTGTAATTTGTATTCAACTTGCAATGTAATCAATTATCTATTACCTATTTGTTAAGGTTTTGTGTTGCTCTTGATTTTGCAGAGTTTAGTTTGACACATGTTGATGAGGTCATTGATGAACTTCTCACAACGGATTATTCCTGTGATATTGCTATGCCGCGTATCAAGAAAAGGTATTGTTTTATTGTTCTTTCCATTTTCTCTATTGGAATGTTTAGTCTATACTTGCATGATAGGTTTCTGGGTCTTTTTGTTCTTGCTTGTTAGTATTTTGAGTAGTGGGCACTTGTGTTGTGGAGGAATTTAGTTTTTTTATCTGTTTTCTGTAGGTGGACTCTTGAATCTCTTGGTTCATTAGAACCTAGACAAAGTGCACTTGAAGAGGATTTTGAGGAGGAAGAGGAGAATGAGGATAATGAACAGCCTGCCGAAGAGCTTGAAGATAAAACCCATGAGAAGGTGCTTTCCTTTCTTAAGCAATATACTTTTCATTTTTTTTGTTGATATTAATGCAAGTCGTCATGATGTTTTGGTTGATTGTTGAATGATTTACAGGATTATTATCGTGGGCGAAGTCCTACAAGGGAAAGAGATAGGGATAGAAGACGCGAAAGTCACAGACACAGGTCAAAGTTCTCTCCTTGCCAAATTTTTGTAACTTCATATGAATTGATGTAGATATGAATGCAGTCATTTAAATAGATTTTCTGATACTTTTTATTTTCCTTTTTGGTTTATATTTGACTTTTTTTGTGCATGAGTGTATCATTCGGGTTTATATTGGAAGCTGTTTTTGAACGTGCACAGAGCCCTGCTCTTTCTCCCAAACACACACTCACACACACACACTACATATCCATATATAACTTTTAAGTTATACTTCTACTTCCACTATGGCATTAAAATCCATTTGTGGTATACAACTGCTTCCTATAGTAAAATTAAATGATCCTGCCAGGTTTCTCTGCACTGACAGTGTGCAGTTGAGAAGTATGATGGGTCAAACAGCTAATGTTTCATTGGTAAATGTTCTCCATGATCATTGTCATGTATATTTAAGATTTGGATTTGCCTTTTTAAATAATTTTGGAATTTGGATGATCTCATTACCTATTTGTTAAATAAATCTGAGATTAATGAATAATTCTCCACTTGGTTATAAGTTATTTATGACCATTGACCATCTATGGGAGTGTTTAAATTTTATGCAAAGTGTTTATTTATCGAAAGATAATTCATTAGTCAAGAACAAAAGTACATAGTCCAAGAGAAAATATTTCTTTTGGAATTTTAAGAGAAGGAAACAAACTTTTACAAGACTGGGAAGAACATATGCTGAAACTTTCATAGCCTTGCAGTCCTTGAATAGTTACAAAATTGTTGTAGTATTTTCCCTGTCTTTTCAGCATGTTAGTATGTGATTCCTTCAAATATGTAACTGAGATATCTGAAAATGTGATAGCTGTTACTTTCTTGTTGGGGGAGGCATTGTGAAGTGACTATTGTTATGTCATTTTAAGAACCACAATGCATGCACATACATCTAAATGGTGGTAAAATTGTTGTTGATGGTTAAAGCATTTGATATATTGATTTATAGGCGTCCTTTTATCCTTGGCGCTATTATTTAATTCAAAATATTTAGTTGCCTTATGAAATTTACTTATCATTTGATTTTTTAATGTACTTTTCATAGGGATCGCGACTATGATAGAGATTATGACAGAGAGCGTGGACGTGGCCGAGATAGAGACAGAGATAGGGAAAAGGAAAGGGACAGAGATAGGGAAAAGGAAAGGGACAGAGACCGATATCGAGTGAGGGAAGAAAAGGATTATGGTCGTGAGAGAGAGGGTAGGGAGCGAGAGAGGAGAGACAGAGATCGCGACCGTGGTAGGAGGAGGAGCTACTCAAGGAGTCGAAGTAGAAGCAGGGATCGCAAGGAACATGATGGCGGGGACTACAGGAAGAGACATGCTCGTAGTAGCGTTAGTCCTAGAAGGCATGGAGATGGAGCTGAGGATGGGGAGCCAAAGAGGAAGAAGGAGAAGAAAGAAAAGAAGGAAAAGAAGGATGACGGGACTGACCATCCAGATCCAGAGATTGCCGAAGCAAACAGGTTACGAGCAGAACTGGGTTTGAAACCACTGAGGATGTGAACTGAGCGGTATGCCATAAATTTGTAGTGTTTCAAATCATGAATCAATAGCATTTTACCTTGTGATTCGTGACAGTGACACTTGATGCTTCTTTCTGTTCCTGTTACCTGTACTTCCCTGAGTGGCAATTATCAAACTCAATAGGAATAGTTTTTCAGTGCTTGGTTGTCCATAGCTTTTGTTTTGTTTTTGCCTTTATCTCTATACTATACATGAATCCGGAACCGATGTATTATGTTCAATTCATGTAATGCTGGACTCTATTAGTGTCTGATGAATGGAAAAAAAAAACAATGTGACATTTCTCTTGCAATAGGAAATCTTTTCTTTAGAATACAAAATAGAAAATTTAAAAATCTAAAAAATAGAAGAAAAAAATGAGATGATGATTAAGCAACTTTACCTAGTTGCGAAGTACAAAATGGAACCTATGCAAAAGCTGAAAGATACGTAATATTCATATGTAAAAAAAAGGATTGGCTCAGTATGGCACCATTGCATTTGTCAAGAAGTAATTTTTGGCAAGAGAAACCTGTCTTGATCATAACTCAGGTAGCGGGGGCTAGGAGAAAACAAGGGCCTGCATCTTTGTCCCATGAGAATCCTTTTTTTGCACAGTTCTCTGTCATTATCCTCATCGCTTTCCTCTTTAAATTGCTGTGTCACTTTCTTTTTCCCAAGAGACCTTATCATCTTCAACTTGAAGCCAATGACCACAAATTTGGAGGGAATCTTGATCAAATGCCCCGAACTAACATTCCTCCTAACTTGTCCAAACCGGGCTACAACAGCATACAAATTGTTTTTACTAGCCCTCCATTTGGATGTAATGAAACTATTCAACTCTTTTCTCTTCTCTAGAAAACCCAATAATATTTTCAGACGCTGCTTGTCCATTCTGCTATGCTTTCCTTCACCTCTTTGACCGTTCTCCAATGCCTGCTCAAGTAAAAGAAGCTGAGATAATGCAGTTACGTCCGGTTTTGGTTCAAACTCATTTTGCAGTGCCATTGCAGCGACATCGTGTCTTTCTTTCCCATTCTTCTTCCCTTTAATTGGACATTTCGGAACTGAAAGTCTCTTGTTTCCAAGGAGACTAGAGAAGACTGAGCCAAGTGATGTCTTTGGTTTAGCCATTAAGCTCACATTCTCAATGTCACTAGCAATAGCTTTGTCTTTGAAGTAGAAGTGGAAGTTTTTCTGCATCATTGTGGTTGTGGCCGCCGGTGACTTAGGGACATTAATCCTCAGCTTTGGATGACCAACCATGGTAACTAAAGAGAAGACGTACGAGGTAGCAGTTATTATGTTATTACGATAGAGGACAATTTGTAGCAGAAAATGGGGTAAGTGGGGTCCAAAATTTAACTTCCAATATAGGAGTGGGGACGTGGACGTAAAGCGAAAAACATAGGCTCTATTTTATTTTTGGAAATCAACATAGGCTCTATATAAAAACAATATTTTACTATTCATATATAAAGATTAGTAGTAATGCATGGACTATATAAAATACATGTTTTTTCTTTTATCAAATTAGATAGATATTCTTATCGTAAATGATATTAGAGAATCTAATTTATTACATTATTAGTTTATGTGTGCCACTTTTTTTACATTATAAATGCATAGCTATTAATTTTATAAATTAAATTAAATTAAATTTAGAATTATGTTTATATGTCATTTTTCTTTTACTATCTCTTGCAATAAACTATAATTGTATTTATATAAGTTAGTAAGTCACTCTAAAAAAAATTCTTACTATCTCTTCTCTTATGTATCTAATATTAATAATATAATATAAGTAAACTTAAGTTACAAAACTCATAATTTTTTCTTTTTATTTTGTTTTTATTAATCTATCTACCTATAGGCTATGTCTATATATCTATATAAACTAAACTTAAGTGATTTTTAAGTTAGAATTATACCTATGTGTGACTCTAAAAAAACTTATTATCATCTCCTATAATAAACTAGAATTATGCCTGTTCATCCTTAAAATTTTATTACCATATTTTATAACTTTTCATCTCCTCTTATTCTATATTATCTTATTAATTAATGTTATTAGGTTATTGTAATAATTTTTAGCGTCAAAATCAAGATTAATTTGATCATTTATTATATTAATTTAATTATATTATTTAAAATATTTATTTTTCTTTCACTAACTTGATAATCTTATTAATTAGAGTTATTAAGTCATTGCAATAATTTTTGACGCCAAAATCAGGATTAATTTGATAATTCATCATATTAATTTAATTATATTATTTAAAATAATTTATTTTTCTTTCACTAACTTAATAATTTTTTATATTTATTTACCGTATTTAGTAAAAATTAACTTTTCTTCTATTAACTAATTATTCATCATATTAATTTAATTAATAATTTTAGTTATATACTAATTTTTTTTCCACTAACTTGATAATTTTTTATATTAGTTAAATTTGTTAAGTCATTACAATAATTTTTAGCGTCAAAATTAAAGTTAATTTAATAATTTATCATATTAATTTAATTATATTATTTAAAATAACTTATTTTTCTTCCATTAACTTAATAATTTTTTATAACGTATTTAGTAAAAATTAATTTTTCTTCCACTAACTAATTATTTATCATATTAGTTTAATTATTAATTTTAATTATATACTAACTTTTCTTGCACTAACTTGATAATTCACTGCAAGAAAAAGCTTCTCCAGCGACATATATTAGTGACGTGGTTATCACGTGAGTAATAAATGCAGTTGCGATGTGATAATCACGTCACAAACATATTTTAATGATACATAAAGCAAGTCAGAGGTGGTTGTTTGGAAAAAGAATCAGTGACGTGTCTTACACGTCGCTATAGACGGGGGAAATTTGAAATTTGGTAGCGACGTGATAGCCACGTCGCTACATTAAAGGGGGGAAATTAAAGTTGATTGATGATAGGGTGGCAGAGTGGGAAAGTGAATTATATTTCTGTTGAGTGTGTAGCGACGTGAGTATCACGTGGCAATATTGCGACGTGACAGTCACGTCGCTACTTGATGTTTACATCTCCACAAAATTCATCCGTTACAGCATCTGTTTCCTCTTCCTTTCTTCTTCCTTTCCTCTTCCTTTCTTTTTCCTTTCTTCTTCCTCTCAAACCCAAATTTCCAAATCAAATTTCTTCCATCCCAAATTGTTGAAGAAGAATAAGGTATTCATATTTTGATAAATTTTTATTTCATTTGTTCATTATTTATTATACTGATAATAAATATTAAAAAGAGTATTTTGTTTAATTTGTAGAGAAATTTGAAGAAGAACACCAAGAGCTACACAAGAAGAAACAAATTAAGTGAAGAAATTATATAGAGGTATTTATGCATTTTTTTATATATTTTATATGTATTATATAGATTAGTAGTATATGTATTTTGTTTATGTGAGTTAAAAAAATATTTTACTTAATTTTAGTTTTAGGTTAATTAGTATTATAGGTTAATGTTTAAAATAAAATGAAAATTAAAATGTTTTATATATTAATATATTATTAAACAGAAATATTATTGTTAATATATATAGGTTAATATTTATTAATATTATTGCATGTTATATAGACATATAAAAAAAATTGTTAGTATATACGTATAAAATAAAAAAAATTTGAATATATATTAAAATAAATTTTTTTAGAAAACATAAAATTAAAAGTCTTATTTTTTATAGATGTATATATATATATGTTAACACATAAATTTAATAACATATTTAAAAACAAAAATGTATATTATATTTATTATAATAGTTTTATTTTTTATTTATATGTTAAAGATATGAAAAAAAAATTATATATTAAAATAAGAATTTATAAAAAACATAATTAAAAAAAGAGTATATATATTATATTATTATTTTAATATTATTGTTATATATATAATAAAAAGTATATATGTTATATTATTTGTTTTCTAATATTATTGTTGTATATATAATAAAAAGTAAATATGTTATATTATTGTTTTTTGATATTATTGTTATATAATAAAAAATTATATATTTTACATTTGAATATTTATTTATATGTTAGTATATATATAAAAAAGCAAAATTTATATTTTTAAGAATAGTATTAAATAGTTTAAGAATAATATTATTAAGTTGATTAATATTTCTAATGAAAAAGACAATGATTGTATAAATGTGCAGTATGGAATATTATCGGTATTATCGTAGTTGGATGTACGATAGAACATATTCAGGAAGAAGTGGACTTAAACCCAATTTTATAGTAGGAGTTGATGGGTTTATTAAGTGGGCGTTTGCTCAGGATTGTTGTCGAAGCGAAGGAGGGGTTAGGTGTCCCTGTCTTAAATGTGAATGTAGACCAATATTTTTAACTTTATTGTTTAGACTAAGGAGATGGGGAGACCACCATTGATCATTGAGTTGATTACGAGGACTCGGACAAAGAAATCGGGAGGTTTTGTCGACGAGCGCACAAAGAGAGCTTTTGTAAGTAATTTAATTTATGTTTTTTTTAAGTTAATAACAAAAATAGTGACGTTATTTTCACGTGGCAATCTATAAGTTGTGGCGTGATTATCATGTGGCAACTGATAAATTGCCACGTGACTGATTTTCATGTGGCAACTGATACATTCCCACGTGAAAATCACATGGCAATTCATAAGTTGATTTGTGAAAATCACGTGACAAATTTTTAATATATTTGAATTTAGTATAATTTAATATATAAATGTTTTAATTTAGCATAAATTTAATATATATATATATATATATATATATATATATATATATATATATATATATATATATATATATATATATATATATATATATATATATATATATATATATATATATAATTTTTTTTAAATTTTATTATTTAATGTATGTGTAGGATGATTATCAGACATTGCTTGCACGTTTTCTGGAACACAATCCTCAATATAGGCCAGCAGAAGGGGAGCCGCTTAATGGTGATGTTGATTTCTATATTTGGAATGAGGTTGTTAATGGAAAAGGGCCTAATAGTTGCTTTTTTGCGGGAGGAAATTTGACCGCAGGCTTGAGAGTTGGTGATCGTAATCTGTTTCAACGACTTAGAGATGGAGAGGGAGGGTCACGTCAACCGAATCTGACACATGATCAACTTGAAACAGTAAGACAATTGGCGGCAAGTGAAGTGAGACGCGAAATGGAGGCCCAAATGACGACAATGAGGCAACAACGGGAGCAGCAATTAGAGATCATGCGAAAGAGGCAATCTGATATGGAGGAGCAGATGAGACGGTTTATGCAAGGTGGTGGAAATCAAAATGTTCCTGATACACAGCCGGATGATGACGAAATTGATGATTTTGATCTTGATAATTATCCGGGTGAAGATGCCCCGTGAAAACATTTTATTTATTTCGTTTTTAAATTTGCATTTATGTAAGATATTTATTTTTATCATTTTAAATTATTAAATTATATAATATTTTATTATATGACTTTATTTTATAAAATTCTATTATTCGAATATATAATAAAATACTATTATTCTAATAATTTTAATATATAAATTTTATTATATAAATTTTATTATTTAAATTTTATTATATAAATTTTATTATATAAATTTTATTATTTAAATTTTATTATATAAATTTTATTATTTAAATTTTATTACATAAATTAATTAATATAAAAAATAATTACTAAATAATTTTTTTAAAAATAAAAACGTCACCTGTAGCGACGTGAGAATCATGCCACGTAATTTTTATGTTTGCCACGTGATTTTCACGTGGCAAATAAGCTTCTTTTTTGTAGTGATTTTTCATATTTATTTAACTTATTCAGTAAGAATTAACTTTTCTTCCACTAACTAATCATTTATTGATTATCGTATTAATTTAACTATTCATTTTAATTATATTATTTCATATGGAGAATAGTATTCACAAATTTTATAATTAATATTAATTAATTAGATTAAAATTAATTTTAAAAAATTATTTAGTTATGCCACTAGCCACGTGAAAAACAAACAATCAGGCCAAAATTTTCCAATTCTCTACCCATTTTCTTTCTATTTAATTTAATTAGATATACAAATATTATATTATATAAATAATAATAATAATAATAATATTCATTAATAATTTTCCTCAGTGACTCAAATAATAGAATCCACTAACTTCAATAATAGATTACGTAGCTCCTAATTAACATCTCAATTATTATTTATTAATAATTAGTTAAATAAAAATGGCTAAAAAATAGGAGAAGTAGTTTTCTTCTTATTACTACTTAGGCCTCCTTTGTATAAACTAATAACTCTATTTACTCATTTTAATAGATGTCCATTTCTTTTGTTTCTATATTTTTCTTTTTCAGTTTATGTAAATATCTTTGTGTGTGTAGCGTTTTCATTCACGTTATAATCATTTTTTCAAATTTTAACTTTTTCTTCAATCAAATTCTTTATTGACAACACTAAACCACCAACAACATTCTTTCCACCGTCATTTATCTATCTGAAGTTAATTTGAAATCCCTTTTATTTTGACTTTTAAATTGAAGATAATAAATGTTTTTTTAATTTATTTATAATAATCATCATTGTTGTTGTTTTTCAATGGAAGATGGTTCTTCTAGCTTCGAGTATAGTTATCAGTAAGACAACACTGCTACGATTATGAGAGTTTGAGAAGAGACAAATCGATTGGAGATTTTGTGGTGGAGAGAGTTAGAGGAACAAGTGAGGAGAAGATGACCACTTATATAATAGTCATGGACTGATCCTCGTCTTTTTTTATTGTTATTTTCTAATTTTTAGTTATGTTTATATTAGATATACTTTAAGGATATGTTTACGAGTTTGGAGGAAAAAAAGGGAAGGATTTTAAAAAATAAAAATGATTGAGTGAAAAGAATACAAAAAATTTACTTGTGAGGATTTTGGAGGGTTTGTATTTCTTCATAACACCAAAAATCCTCTAATAACACCAAAAATCCTCTGATATGGAAAACTCAAAATTGGTATTGGAGGAGGATTTTGTAAGGCTTAATCAATTTATTCAAATATAATTTTTGTTATTATAGTATTTCAAAAACTAAAAATACATTAATGATAAACATTATTTTATCATTCTAAACAATTTTTTTTCTTCAAAAATGTTCAAAATTTCTTTATATTTCTAAAAAGAAATCATTTTTGGAAATCCTATCTTCCCCTTCTCTCCAAACTCCTAAACATAGTCTAAAAGCACCATAAAATTTCGTTGAAATTGAATTAATAATTTATAAATAAATATCTTCGTATCTAAATCTATAATTTTTATTTTCTCTTTCGTGTATATATATAAAATGAATTTTAGTTATGTTTATATTAAGTTGAGACGGGAAAATGGATTCTAGGAACGAACCGATAAAATCCAAGTTTCAAAATAAGGATTCTAATGATTTAGAGTAGAATCCAATACATAAGAGATTAAGTGAGCATAATATTGAATGAGAGAATTTGAGGGAAGAAGATAATTTATTGAATGTTGATTGATTCCTCTTCAAATGAGGTACACAAGTCTTTAAATAGAACTATCAAGGCTAAAAGAGTAAAATAGATAAATAAACTCGTATTTAAAATAAACTAGTACGTTAATACTTAATAGTAATTCCTGTAACAATATCCTCCCCTTCAAACATCCTTGTCCTCAAGGATGAACAATCACAGCTGTCATGTTTAAGAGGCAAAGCTTTCCATTTGATTAGAATTTTAGCATCTCGAACATTTCCCCAATTGATCATCTTCCTATAAAGAATAACCACAACAGAAAAGTTTTGACATTCAAAGATAAGCACATAGATGAAATCATTTTCATAATTGTGTCGAACACATTTTAAATTAAATTGCCGCCTCTTCAAAAAATTCAGCTCAAGATTCCTAAACCACACAACATTCTCTCCAACGACTTTTAAAAGAGATTCACTTCTGACCACTCTATCATCACCATGTTCTCTGTGCAAACTAGCAACTACAAGAGATGTACAAAACTTTGAAACCTGGAAGTAGTTTGCTGTCAGAACCATACAAAACCAATAACTATCCATTGGTACATATATATTTGGTGCTTGCTTCTTCTTGCCATCATTAATCCTCACTAGCTCTTGTGTCCCAACAATTGAAGCATGGACAATTAAGCAGATATATTTGGATACCTTTGAAACAATATTAATATTCCCTGTTTGAAGTCCAAAAGAAAGAAAAATGAGAGCATATTTGGTGGTGCCTATCCAAATTTTGGAGCCAAAGATAACATGAGTGAACAGTAGGAGTTCTGGAGCATAAAAATTATTTTCCCTAGTAATATCAAGACTTTTTTGGTGTAAAAGGAACCCAAAAACAATTCCTATGACTTCTTTAGCTTTGGACCTTTGAGAGATCCAATGTACATAAACTAACTCTCCAATGGCATATTTGATATATATGACATGTAATCCAACAAAAACTTCAATTACAGCAGCAAACTCAAAACTCAATACTAGTCACATTGTACTAAAGGCATCATCAATTGACATGCTCGAACAATTAAAGCTAAAATTTCTAATCACACAAGAAGCCAACCTGAATTTGTAGCATAATTAAACTGGCCACATCTTGAGCTTTATGAAAGATTTCGGATTTACCACAAGCAAGACACTTTGATCTTGTTTTAAATCAAACTTGGTCAGTGCCAAATGATAGGAGGACATCAAATGTTGAAAGTTTAATTTGTTTCCACTCCACAAAGGAACAAACTGATGTGAATGAATGCACAATATAGTGGTAAAAGGATATAACAGTAGAATATAAGAATAGAGAAAACTGCAAATGTATTGTTATCAGATCCACAATTACAGGAATGTAGAAATAGAGAAATAGGAAAAAGACAAATTGGTAATAGCTACCCAATTCCCAAGCACTCTGTGCTCCCAAATCACCAAGAGGTGACCCCACCAAATCCTAACTGAATTTCTTCCTGCTTACTCCCTTCCAGCTATAGATATATATAGTCACTCTCATGCACTTCATGCATTCACAGCCACGTCATCATCTTTCGTTCCTTTTGCCTTCTTCCTAGTGTAAACTCTCCACACCCTTGGCATGGCCCCACTTCACTAATCACATTTCTATCAACTCCCACCTCCTTAGACAACGTCTTGTCCTCAAGGCAAAATTCAGGAAACTGGCCACGCAAAAATTCATTATCCTCCCATGTTACATCCTCTAAAGCTTTGTTTTTCTATTGTATCAATGTTTGCTGAACCTCATTACCCCCCTGCACTATGACTCTTGAACCCAACACCTTGTATGGGTACACATTAGTCTCCTCAGTCACTTCCAAATCTTTAGGTAACTCTCCATGTACCTGATAGTTCCCAACAACTCGCTTGAGTAGAGACACATGGAAAATTGGATGAATTCTAGATGCCGATGGTAGGTTCAACCTGTAGGCTACTTCACCAATCTTTTCCGTCACCTGGAAAGGTCTATAGAATCTTGCCGCGAGTTTCTGATGAATTCTTTTTACCATTGACTGTTGTCTATGGGGTCTAAGTTTCAGAAACACCCATTCTCCAACTTCAAAACATAAATCCCTCCTCTTCTTGTTAGCATACCTTGTCATTTGTTCCTGAGCTTTGAGCAAGTGAAGTTTGAGTTGATTTAAAGCCTCATCTCTTTCAATCAACTCCAATGCCACAACAGCCACCTTAGTCTCATTAGACAAAAATCTCAACAATGCAGGAGGTTGTCTCCCATATACCACCTCGAACGAAGTCTTCCCAATTGACACATGAAAGGTATTGTTGTACTAAAACTCAGCCTAAGAGACCCACAATGACCAAGTCTTTGGATGATCAAAAGCAAAGCACCGCAGATAACTTTCTAGACACCTGTTAACTACTTCCGTTTGACCATCTGTTTCCGGGTGATATGCTGAACTCATTTTCAGCTTAGTACCCTGCAACTTGAACAACTCCGTCCAAAAATGACTCACAAATAAAGGATCTCTATCACTGATTATAGAACTTGGAATCCCATGAAGTCTCACCACTTCTTTAACAAAGAGCTCCGCAATTGACTTAACAGTATATGGATGTTTGAGTAAAACAAAATGACTATACTTAGATAGTCTATCCACGACCACTAACACAACCTCATAACCTTTAGACTTAGGCAACCCAGTGATAAAGTCTATGGACAAGTCCTCCCACACACCATTAGGAATAGGTAGAGGCTGTAATAAACCACCAGGAGTAGTAGCACTATACTTTTGTCTCTGAAAAACATCACAAGATCTAACATAATCCCTTACACTCCTCTACATCCCACCCCAATATAATGAATCTGCCAGTCTTCGGTATGTTCTTAGAAAACCTGAGTGCCCTCCAGCAGGAGTACTATGAAATTCTTCTAATACCCAAGGAATAAAGGGTAATTCAGGGGAAATCACCAATCTGCCATGATAAAGTAAAACTCCTTGTTTCACCTGAAACCCAGGTCTAACATCAGGAGACTCCTGCACTTCTTTCATTAACTTTTGAATGTACGGGTCATTAGCTATTTCATCCAAAAGTTTTTGTCTATCAACCCACAAGGGAAAAGAAATGATAGAATTTATTTCTACCTCACCCCGACATCTGGACAGGGCATCAGCAGATCTATTCTCTAAGCCAGGTTTGTACTTGACTTCAAATTGATAGCCTAGCAGTTTGGCCAACCAACACTGTTGATCTGGAGAAGAAACTCTTTGTTGTAAAAAATGCTTCAAGCTTTTATGATCTGTATGCACAATAAATGCTCTGCCCAATAAATAATGTCTCCAGTGCTGAATACAAAGCACAAGGGCCATTAATTCCTTCTCATAGATAGATTTTGCCAGATTCCCATCAGATAACGCTTTACTGAAAAAAGCAATAGGCTGCCTCTTCTGCATTAGAACAACACCTATACCTCTACCAACCGCATCACACTCAATTTCAAAAGGTAAATCAAAATTTGAAAATGTTAGCACATGGGGAGAAGTCATGATTCTCTTCATCTCATCAAAAGCCTTGACAACTTCTATTCCCCAAGAAAAGTTGTCTTTCTTAGTCAAATCTGTGAGAGGTTTTGCTATTTTACCATAATCCTGGATAAACTTTCTATAATATCCAGTGAGTCCCAAAAAACTGCGTACCCCCTTCACATTCTTTGGTGTAGGCCATGCAAGAATACACTTCACCTTTTCAGGGTCCACTGCCACACCTTCTCCAGAAATGATATGGCCAAGATAATCAATTTGAGCACAACCAAACCTGCATTTTGCTTGATTTGCCACAAAACAATGCTCAACTAAAACAGACAAAACCATCTTCAAATTCATTTGGTGTTCCTTAATATCTCTACTGTAAATCAAAATATCATCAAAAAACACCAAGACAAACTTTCTCAAATATGGCCTAAAAATGTCATTCATGGTAGCTTGGAAGGTAGCTGGGGCATTCATTAGCCCAAAGGGCATTACTAAGTACTCATAATGGCCATTATGTGTTCTAAACGCCGTTTTAGGGATGTCATCCTCATGCACTCTAATTTGATGATATCCAGATTTTAGATTAATTTTAGAGAACACAGTAGCTCCATATAGTTCATCTAACAACTCATCAACTATAGGGATTGGGTACTTATCTGGTATTGTAGCTTTATTCTGGGCCCTGTAGTCTACACACATTCTCCAACTCTTGTCTTTCTTCTTGACTAATATCACAGGACTTAAAAATGAACTCATACTCGCCCGAATGACTCCAGCTTTCAACAGTTCTGACACTTGCTTCTCAATTTCTTCTTTTTAATGATGAGGGTACCTGTAGGGTCTGACATTAATGGCACCATGAGCAGGATAAAGCTTAATCCGTTGCACCTGACTCCTCTCAGGAGGTAGCTGAATGTTGTCTCCAAACACTTTATGGAATTCTTCTAGTATAGGGTTTAAGCCTTTGGGAACCACTGACCTGGTTGCTTCCATTGACTGTAAATGGGCCCACCACCATCCCAACTTAGTTTTGCTATGAGTGTCCTCAAGATAGGAATTCAGATAACACTGTCTCACCACTTTGCTGCCTTGACCTTGCAATTTCACCAACGCATTTTCATAAGATAATTACATCGTCATGGCCTTCCAATCCATAATCACCTTCCCTAGAGTGCTTAACCAGGAAACTCCTAACACCATATCCATTCCACCTAGCTCCAACACCAGCGCATCCACAATTACTTCAATCACTCACATCTTCATTTTGACCCCCTTTACACACTCCTTTTATTATTACCTTATGACCGTCACCAAGCTTGATACTCTTAGCTGCTGTAGGTGTGATATCAAGACCCAAAGCAGTAGTCACTTTTGGAGAAATGAAATTGTGGCTCGCACCACTATCAATCAACACCAGTAAATCTACATTCTGTATCTTCCCTTCAACCTTCATGGTGTAAGACTCACCCATACTTCCCAATACCCCCATCAGTTTAGATTCCACCTCCACTTCTTCTTCACTTCCCACCGTCACGTCCTCCATACTCACAATTTCCCCTTCCTCTGTCATAGTTTCTCCTTCCCCTAAGATTAGAACCCTAAGAGCTCGTTCTGGACATTTGTGCAACGTAGGATGGTATTTTCCCCCACATTTGAAACATAGGCCCTTCTCTCTCCTCTCTTCGAATTCATCATTGTGGATACTTCGTATTCCCTTCCACCTCTCCGTCGTGCCGGAACGCGCCCCCCCGTCGTTTTTTCGAGCTGAGGAAACCAAAGACGAAGTTGAATTTGTGTTGGATCCAATCAAACCCGTTTTCTGACTCGGGTTTGACCCACCCAACTGAAACGAACGAGTTGCATCCCTGGGTTGGGATTCACCTTTACTCCTTAGTAACCCGATCCAATCCTTCTGGCCCACACGTTCGTACCCCCTTTTCCTTACGTCACGACGCTCACCATCGTCATCTTCCTTTTTCAATTCCTCTTCAACATCTTTCGCAATTCTCATCATCTCCATCCTATTTCGAGGATTCAGAGTACACACCCTCCTCTGAATTTGGGGTTTCAAACCACTCATAAAATACCCTAGGTATTGTTCTTCAGGAAGCCTTCCAACTTGTGATGACAACAGCTCAAAAGCTTCGACGAATTCCTCCACACTTCCCTTCTGCCTCAACGTCGAAAGCTCCTCGAACGGATTCTCCAGACGACGTCCTCCATAACGAGTAATTAACTATCGCTTCAGCTTCTCCCATGACAACTCATCAACAGGTTGAACCAATGAATGGTTGAACCTTCCATACTCAAGCGAGCCAACTTCACACGCATAACATCCGATGTATTCTGAACATCGAAATAAATTTTGGCCCGTGTAATCCAAGCCACAGGATCATCACCATCAAACAGAGGTAACTTCACCTTCTTCCCGGCGAGGCGAGATTCACTCTGTGCAGAATCACCAACAGAGGTTTCCCCTTCTAGAGTCTCTCCTTTCTTTCCGATCTGTTTGCTTAATTCTGCTAGAACCAAGCTTTGTTGATGCATTTGCTGAGCGTGTTGCTGCAACTGTAAAGCGAGTTCTTGCAGCATTGTTGTCACAGTCCCCATCTGTGTCTCCAAAGCGTCAACTCGGTCACTCATCTTAGGCTTCCTTGGCATCTACAATCTTCTTCGTCGTGTGAGTTTTGATCCGGCAAGTCAAACCAATTGATGGGACTGAATGCACAATATAGTGGTAAAAGGATATAACAGTAGAATATAAGAATAGAGAAAATTGCAAATGTATTGTTATGAGATCCACAATTACAGGAACGTAGAAATAGAGAAATAGGAAAAAGACAAATTGGTAATAGCTACCCAATTCCCAAGCACTCTGTGCTCCCAAATCACCAAGAGGTGACCCCACCAAATCCTAACTGAATTTCTTCCTGCTTACTCCCTTTCAGCTATAGATATATATAGTCACTCTCATGCACTTCATGCATTCACAACCACGTCATCATCTTTCATTTCTTTTGTCCTCTTCCTAATGTAAACTCTCCACACCCTTAGCCTAGACCCCACTTCACTAATCACATTTCTATCACAAACCATTGTTGTTGTTGATCCACACAAGCTACCTCACCAGCCTTAGAAATAAAATAAAATCTTCTGGCCATTGCATTGTCATAAAAATAGCAGTAAATATTTGCCAAAGTAAATCTACAACCATCATGAAAAATATCACTCCAGTAGGTCCAAGTGTGAATAAGTTGTAGTTCATGTTCCAACTGTTGGGACTGTTGCAGAAGAATTTTAAATCCATTCAAAGAATCAACGCTATCATTCATTTCACTTATATCAGCCAACATTGTTAATGTGTCTTCCATAGATAACAAACTTCAAAGAGCACCAATACGACAAGTTGGTAAATGTGTAGTCAACAAGCTTAATAACCAGCATGTGAAGGCCTTTGGATGAATCAAAAGAAACACCTTCAGAGTCATAGTGAGGATATTCCAAACATACAGAAGGCACTTGGGCATTTGATCAAAGACTTGGAGGGTAGATGGAAACAACCTGTATTGAGTTGATGCAGAATTCTTTTATTTTTATTCTAAAACTTAAAGAATGAGAATATAACATTCTCATAAGAATACATTCAATCAACTATAATTTTCTACTATTAAACATTTTTTTTTGTAATTTTAAATTAAATAAATTTACAATAAATTCTAAAAAACTTTAATTTTTACTAAACACATAAATAGGAATAATATTTTTCAAAAAATAATTCTTGAAATATCATTCAAAAAAAATATAATTTGAAATCTTGAAACAAACACCCATACACAATAGTTTTAAAAAAAAGTTATATCCTTCAAGTATTTATTTGACATTGAAATATAGAAATTTAATTATGTTCATCAAACTTAACTATGTGAGGACATAAATTATTTTTATTGTCTTAAATTATAAGTTATTTCATTGAACTCTACAAATTTCATCATTTCCTTTCGAGTATCATTTAGGAAATTTTATTTTTTCATTTTTAACTTCACAATTTTACCTTATTTATATTTTACTTATTTTTCAACTAAGAATCTAAAGTATATTACATATAAGTGACTTATATAACATATAAGTGATTGGATGACAATATATCACATATAAGTGATTGGATGACAATATATCACATATAAGTGATTAGATGTGAATATGAAGGATGTTAATTAGTTTTTTTTGTGCTAAATCTCTCTCTTTAGAATTGGCATATGCTAGATTTAAGGGTGCTTTTTTTATTGAAGTAGTTGTAAGAGAAGTTTGTCTTTATTATAGCTTAAGTAGGTGGGCTAGGAGAAAACAAAGGCTTGCATCTTCGTCCCATGAGAATCCTTTTTTTGCACAGTTCTCTCTCATTATCCTCATCATCTCTTTCATATTTAAATTGCTTTCTCACTTTTTTTTTCACAAGAGACCTTATCATCTTCATCTTGAGACCAATGATCATAAATTTGGAGGGAATCTTAACTAATCCCCACAAACTAACCTTCTTCCTACTAGCCCTCCATTTGGCTGTAATGAAACTATTCCACTCTTTCTTCTTCTCTAGAAAACTTGATAAAATTTTCAGGCGCTGCTTAACCATTCTACTTTGCTTTTCATCATCTCTTTGATCGTTTTCCAATGCCTGCTCAAGTACAAGAAGCTGAGACAATGAAGCTATAAATGGTTTTGGTTCAGACTCATTCGACATTGTCTTAGCTCTTATGTCGCTAGCAACGACCTTGTCTTTGCAGTGGAAGTGAAACATTCTCTGCATCATTATGGTTGCGGCAATCTTGACTTCAATACAAGGTAGAAGTTATTATGTTATTATGATTGAGGAACAATTTAGAGCAGAATATGGAGTACAAAATGTAACTTCCTACACAGGAGTAATGGCATGTTTTATGAATTATTATTGATGAATTGCATAACATGTGTTATTAATATTTTTAAACATTGATTAAAATTAAAATACGTGTATATGTGTGATACTCATGCACGTGTTATTGAATTACATTATTAATGAGATTTACGGACATGTGCTATTAAATTAATAATAATAAAAATGTAAAAAAATATAAGAAAATAAATATTTCATACGTGTGCGATCCACATATGTTAGTGAATTACATTATTAATGAGATTTACATTATTAGTGGTTTTTGATTTAAGTGTATGTTTTTTTTTTCATAGTCACTCGTATGAATTGTCTCTCTTCAAATTTTGATGTACTATCATGTTTAGGAGAATTTCAGTGTTTTGCTATAGACAACTGAATATATTGATTTATGATGCGTTTGTTTCATGGTTTAAAATTATATTTTTTGGAATGATATTTTTAAGATTATTATTTTTGATAATATTGTTTCAACCTATATGTTTGGTAGAAATTTAGATTCTTAAGAATCGTCATAAATTTAGTTTAATTTTAAATTATAAAAAAATAAAAAATTATATAAATATGAGGAATAGTGAGAAGTTAGAGTTGGTTGGACTTATACCTATGAGAATGTTACACTCTCACCCTTTATGCTTTGGAATAAGAATAGAAAAATCATGTGTAAATAATATTTCTTGGAATACAAAATTCCTTAGAATAATTTTTTAAAACTTGAATCAAACATGAGAATATTACATTCCCATAGTCCTATTCCAGGAATAGAAAATTCTTTAGAATAATTTTTTAAAACTTGAATCAAACATGAGAATATTGCATTCTCATAGTCTTATTCCAGTAATATTTTTTATTAACTTAAAACAAACACACCCTTAGTGTATACTCCAGTTTTGGTGTAATGTTTTGAGAAAAATTCCAATATGATTGTTGTCTATCGACTAATTTTGTATATCATTCATAATTTGAGTTGTTGTTGTTTTTGTTGGGAGTTACTAGGAGCATTGATACAAATTTGAAGAGTATGCACCTTTACATGTGAGAGACACACCACTTGTCCACCTAAAATCTTAAGGTAATAGGCGAGTGTGTTCTCCCACTTATATATGCTTAAGTCTCCATATTCATATCCAATATAGGACTATTTCCCCACTTACTCAAACTTGCATTATTTATAACACTCCCCCTCAAGTGTGTATGCACCTTTGTAAAAGACACATCACTTATCCATCTAAAAGCTTAAGGTGATAGGTGAGTGAGTTCTCCCACTTATATATGCTCAAATCTCTATATTCCTATCCAATGTAAGACTATTTCTCTACTTACTCACATTTGTATTATTATTCTAACAGCTTTGATATTGTCATATGGTCTTCGTTGGTTATTTAAGAGGTTTATTACTTCATTTAGTTAAGGGCAAAGTCATGTGGAATTATTTACAGTGAAAAGCTCACAATAATAATTTTTCTAGTGCGTAGGCACCTCATGCATTTTTTTGTGAAAGTTTTAAAAAAAATTGTTAGTTAAAATAATTAGTAGGTTAGTGACTGTAAATAAAATATGCACAAAAATAAATAAAATACTTAAAATGATTAAAAAAACTATCATAATATCTTTAAAAACTGATGTTAGTCACCAACAATAATGTCATTTTGTTGTAGTGCATATAACAAGTGAATTTTTTTTATCATCTCTGCATGGACTACTTGTGTTTTAAAGACCGTTCAATACTCTCTATTACTTTAAGATTGGTTTATCATATGGTTGATTATTTGTGAATATTTGAAATGTGATAACACGAAATTATATCGTATTTTCGACTTGATTCACATGCATTTTTATATTGTTTTTCATTCATTTTATCTTGTTATGTCAGTATTTCTATTTTATTTCAGGCATTTACATTTCACAAGGCTCGCATAAGAAAAAAAGGAAGAAATGACAAAAAATGTGTGACTCTGTAGCAAAAAATAGAAGAAAATACATCTGAGGACTGTGACGGTCATCACAGCTTCCTGCCGGTCGCCACAATATGAAAATATGTGTGCCCCTCGGCACACATGATATTCCGGTCGCCACGCCTTAAAAGTATGTGTACTCCTTGGCACACATGATGTTACGATCGGCACAGGTTGAAAATATGTGTGCCCCACGACACATATTACATGCCACTCGTAACAGGCCAATTCCAGTGTTAAACAAGAAGTTCTCTCCACGTCTGTAATGAAGCTCCCATGATTTTGTCAACTCTCCGACCATGATCTTCATTATCTCCATTGTCTCCAACTTCCAACTATCTCCATTGTTGTACCCCAAAATTTGCCCTCTCATTTCTCAAAGGATCATCCTGGATCCTCCGGTTTGCTTCTATCAAGTTTCAAGTCTTGAATTACAATTTTCCAAGAAAATCATTCACAAGGGAAAAATGGTCAAAAGCACACTAAAAAGTCAAACTTTGACTTTCAGATCAAAAATCGAGTTTCAACAATTATATTTCATCAAGACATGAAATTGGTTCATCAAAAAATCAGAAGTCAGAAATTACTTTGAAAAAACAAAATTCTAAACATTTAGAAAATTTTCTAAGTGTTAAGAGAATATGATACTTCAGAACTTCTGGGCCAGCCTTCACGCAAGTGCAACCAGAATTTGCAAACATGGTTCAAAACATGACTCATCAATCATAACGTATGGAAACTATGTCCTTCAATCAAAATGTGACTCTTCAGCATATGAAGGCTATGTTATGTGTTTCAATTAGAGCCTCACCATTCGAATCTCACTCTGGTCTTCTGAAATCAGAACATCACCAAATCCCAAAACCTCGTTTGAGCAACCTGCTGCACTGCTATAGCACAGTCCTGCCACCAGCTACCACAACACACCAAGGTGTTGTTGATCCAGTCCACGCCTGCATTTTTCTCAAACCCCATAATTGCACCAAATTAACATACAAAAATTGTGTTTAAAAAGAAATGGAACAGTATGCCAAAAAGGTTTAAATCCCATTTGTTTTCCCCCCCAAAACCACAACCAACTCACCTATAAATAAATTGCTCCACCACACTTTCAAGGGGCTGGCTTTTGGAGAGAGAGAATTATCAAAGAGAAAAAAGGAAACAGTAAAAAACCTTTGCAAATCCTAAACAAAACCTTTGCTCTTCCCTTTGAATCAAAGAACATAACCACTGTTCCGTTGCTCTCGCTAACTCCAGAACATCCGAAGGCAGCAACTCAAATTCAAAGCACACGCTCCAGATTCAAGGTAAGTCTTTCTGACTTTGCATCTTTTCATTCAGAACATCATTAATTATGTAAATATCATAGTATTGATGCTGTACATATCGTTTCATAAGTAGAAAAAACTATGGACCATAGTGTGATACGGTGGGAGAACTGACTTGGGTTTTGCGTTTGTTTTCGCAAATGTTTTGGTTGAGCAAGAGTCGCCACCGACTTTTTATTTTATCCTAAGGAAAGGTTAAAAAGCACAGCAAAAACCTTTGAGATGTTTTCTTGGGTTCAGGGAGTAGATTATAGAAAGGGAAGGTATTAGCACCCTTTCTATCCATGGTTATCCATGGGCTCTTAGTTACTTGCTTAGATCAACTTGCCTTGATTTTCAATTGTTTGAAATGGTGCTTTGTGTGTGGGTTTGAAAATGTTTTGAAAAGAGGCCAATGTGGTGGCAACCTTTGTAATGATCCATGTTGGGATGTATACAAAGATGTATGTCTTTTGAAAAGTTTTCAATGTTTTTGAAAGTTGTTTTTTGAAAGTGTGTTGTGATGTGGTTTTGAAAAATAGGCAAGGTTTGGTTTGCAAGATGATCAAGTAACTAAGAGTTTTGTCTACCCCTAAGTTTCTCAAAGATTTTTCCTATGTTTTAACCCTTTTAACAATTTTGTTCCACCATTGTATTTGATGGGCAATCTTGTGTTAGGATGTGAACGGGACGGGCGTGGGTCATCGTTTAGACCATGATTGCAATGGTGCCAAGTGTCTTTGGGCAATTTTTCCTTTAAGGGACTTGATCATTTTTAGGCAACTTTCGAAAGCGTCATCGAGGGACTATGATCATTTGATTTTGTTTTGTTTTGCCAAAGACACCCAACATGCAACATGGCCCATTTATTGAAGGCAACAAGTGGAGTAACCTTAGGGGTGCAAGTGTGATTGGTGTTGTCCATTTTCATGCTTTTTTGTCTTTTGTTTAGTCAAGCTATTTGTTTGGTTGATTTTTGCATACAAAACCCTAAGTCTATCATGGCATATTTAGAAAGCTTTTAAATGCGAAAAATAAAATCCTAAATTATTACAATACAAATTATGGGATGGGGGGTACAAATGTTCAAATGAGGATATTTAGCAAGAAATTTAAATCTAAACTATTACAATCCAAATGGAATTTACAAGGTATTTAATATACAATAATTAAATAAAAATACAATAAATATGCAAGATGCAAAAAATGATTTTTATATGTATGTGAAAAGTATTTTTTATGTGACAAATAAACAAAAATAAAAGGAATAATTTTGGATATTTTTACATTTTAGGGTAAACCCTAATTTTGCTAAATAAAAGGTATTAAATATTTATTATATACAACATTTATTAATTATGTACAAAAACAAATAAAAAAAAAGAAGTATATTGTAAAAAGTGATTTTTGAAGTCAAATATTAATAAAAGAAAAAAAAAGTATTATTTTTGTAATTTTCCTTAAATATTCTAATAAATATATAAGTATTTATAATATTTACTAAATATATTAAATATGTACAAAAATAAAATATTTAATATTTACAAAAAAAGTATATTTTTTAGAAAATGTTTTCAAAAGATAAAATAAAATAAAATCAGAAAATAGAATGTAT